ATTTCTGAAGCAAATAACTGCTGCTGCTCCACTTAGATTTGGCTGCAATAGTGAGTGACGTTAGTAATTATTTTTCTATTTTTGAACACACAGAAGACTTAGACCACCACTGCAGTTCTTATGAAATCTGTTTCTTTCCATTTATTCATTAGTAAATATTAGCTCATGAATGCTGATAAATATCTCTCCTTCTGAGCCATCTGATTCGCCCCTTGTGAAATGGCTGTTTACACTGTCGAGACCCAGCAATTCTGACAATGTTATCATCCGAGTGCAAGCAGCCAGTGAATTTTTAGAGGCTGTCTCGGATGGGCCTGTGTGGATGGGAGGCTGCTCTTATCCTCTGCTAATAAATGCTTCATCTTTGCTTGTAATTGTGGCAGAATGGAAATGGTGCTTAGGAGCCTGGCTGTGAGATTGCAGCAAATGGCTGCAACCTATGTTTAATGTAGTGATGCTAATGAATTCTGAGAATTAATTTTCTGCTAAGAAAGCGTGATGGAAGATACTGGAATTTCCAATTAGATAATGGATTGACTTTCGTCAAGGCAAACCTACAATTTTTGGGTTTTTTTTCAATCTCTGCTTGCTTAGCCTTTCTATTATTTTAGATCTAAAAGAATAGGAGACTAAATGTGATACTTTCATCATACCTTATTTGAAACACATCTTGTAGTAGATTTGCTAGTCGATTTGCTAGTCAATTTGCTCAATTCAAACTAATGCACCACCTTTTATATATATATTTTTTTAATTTCCATGAGCCAAACAATTTGGCTGAATTTGCAGGTGCAGCACATTTACTGGTTTTATGAATAATTGCAGTATTGTTGATGTTTGACAGTGTCTGAGCTAACTGTCCAAACTGGTTTTAAATGAATGCTCAGATGAGAAGCTGAAGATGTTTTTGTTTTCTTTTTTCCTCAGAAGCAAATCCTTCATTAATAGGGGTTTTTATGTTGCGTTTCACTTGTACAATGCACACATTGATTTCAGAATATTTTGTGATGAGGGAAATTGTAAAAGCTGTTTTGTTACTGTACTCTTCCAAATGTTGACATTACTGAATGTTTATTACTTTTTGATGTCTTTTATTCTGGCATATATGTTGGATACATCTTCTTCCTGAATTTACTGGCAAGTTTGAACTCACACGCTCATATAGTTAACTTTTCCACACATTATAATTCCATGTCAGAGTGTGGGTCATTAGAAAATGTTGTGATAATTCTCACCTTTGTGCATGCTTTAGAATTGTAAGAGCTGATATTCTATACTTGTTTATTTCTGAAGAGCATTGTAGTGTCAATACTGCTTCTAGTAGGGGATGATGACACCTTATTGAACACCTGCAGTGACACCAGCAATCTGATGCATCATTTTTCATTAGCACTTAAGTGGTGGCCCAAGAATTTTTATTTTACAGATGATGTTTACTAAGAACAGCAGCAGCAGCAGGCATTCATGTTGCACTAAAAGCCACACAGTTGAACTGACAGTGTGTAGAAGCAGAATAGCAATAGGCCTTTCCTACATAGAGAGGAATAAGGACAAAGGAATATGCACTGGGAAACGTAAGGGCTATGTTTTCAGTGTCACATGACAGCTTTCCATCCTACATTCCATCACAGCAAGCCTGGTGAGACATCAAATTGGCACTGAATATTTGAGTACAGACTGAGCCCTCTGCACCTACAGTGACTAAGCTGCAAGCTGTTTACTGCATTTGAAACCTAGCAAGGGCTAATTTCTAGAAGTGACTGTGCCAAAACTTGTGCTCTTTAGAGGCAAAGGAGGGTGTGTGCGTCATACATTTCAATTCCTTATGGCCAACCTGCTCTTTCTGCTGCTGTGTTTTTGTGACATGAGTGCTAGCAACTTGCCATTTGACTTGATGGATTAGACCAACTCCAGTGGAAATGTTCATTCTCCTGTTAGTCTCTTCCCTGAAGCTGAAGTACTCATACATGAAGCTATGGACATGAATTTAAGCAGCTTTCCCTCACTCTTGCACAGCTGTTAGTTACCATCTCTCTGCTTTGGTGTGTCATCTCGTTAACCATCTGAAAGGACTCTGTTCTTCCCATGCAGGCACAGACTTGGCACAAGAGGAGGTGTGCTCTGTCTGAGAGTTTGATCACAGAATCATGTTGATGTGTCCTGTGTCATTAACTTAGTCATCCTGCAACTTAACAGAGTTGTGGTTGTGTTTCAAGTGAAATCCTGCATGAACACAGACTGCAGCAATATCCTACTGCCAGAGGATGAAGGCTGCATTTAGATGAAACAATAGATGAACATTGGTTGTTGCAAAGGGAAGCATGCACACAGAATGAATGGTCAGTGGGGGATTGGTAGGATTATGGACAGAAGCAGAGATAATCTGAAAGATCTCCAAGACCACCTCCTTCACAGAACTTACCTGTGCTCATTAAAACATCTTCCAGATCTAAAAGCTCACATTTCAGGCATGCTAGAGAGAAGCTAAGAACTTTTTTCTCCAAAACGTCTCTTTTTGTTAGGCTTCCCCAATAAGTGCAGCATCCTGGACATTTTGATGTCTCATCTAGGGGCCATGTATATAGAAAAACTCTCATGCAGCTTTTGCATCCTGTCTGTAGAGTGGTTTTGTGAGTGTTCAGAGCTCAGAGAATTCATATTAATAACTGCAGGCCACCAGGTCTAAGATTTGCATGTTCTTCACACTTTTGATAAACACAAGATATCCTGTCTGGAACTGTGTAATTTTTTGAAGATAATCCATTTAAACTGAAAAGCAAGTGCATATTGTGATAGGACAAGAGGTAATGGTTTTAAGCAAAAAGAGAGTGGATTCAGACTAGATCTCAGAAGGACGTTTTTTGGGTTGAGGTGGAACACTCACAGAGGTTGGTAGATACCCCATCCCTGGAAAGAATCAAGGTCAAGTTGAACAGGGTTCTGAGCAACTTGATATAGTTCATGTCCCTGTGCATTGCAGGGGATTTGAACTACATGACCTTGAAAGGTCCCTTCCAACACAAACTATCCATGATGCTGTGGTGTAGATTCCCTTGGATTCAGTTGTAGTACTGAAAAACTCTAGATGAAATCAAATTTAACAAGAACATTTATTTATTAACAATAAAGCATAAATACTGTAAAATTGGAATCATTGATAGAATGGTAAAAATCATGAGTGCATGAGCTTTTTCAGACTGAAATCTCCACTTCAGGTACTTGCCATCAATCTGTGAATTTGTATAATGCATAGCACTTATTGTTTTGTTCTCTTTTCCTCTGTCTTCCTGATTAATGTTGTCTTTCTTTTCAAATGCTTTTTTCCTTTTTCTCAGGAAACATGAATTTAAACAGGATTGGCATAGATTGTATTGTCTGTGTGGGTGTATTGACTTTTAAAACTCCCAGATTACAAAAAAGAAAAGGGGTAGGGGAGATTGTCAGAACCTGTTCAAGGCTAATGATGGATCTTCTCCTGGAGGGGAAGGACTGGTATTTATAGCCTTGTGCCCAGAGGGATGGAGATAAAGCAGGTGGTGTTGCTTTAGTGTTTCTATCAGGAGGCTACAGTTCCAGCCTATAGCAAAATTCACCAAAACACTTCCAAAACTGGTAACACATTTTACAGACTTTCTTTTCTGGAATAGATGTACAAAACATGTTAGTAAAATGATTTTCAGGAACCTAAAGTATTAAAGTTATGTTCAAAGATATTTCCAGGATCATTTCAAGACCAGACTTTAGTCTTCAGTAAAGTCTTTGAGGTGAGGCTAAACATTAATAACTTGCTAATGTGTTTGGTAGTATATGAAATCAATTAATGTGCATGATTTTTTGTAATGTAGTTTAAATTTTGTACATTGTTACTTTTATTACTAGAATATAAATTCTAAAAGGTATTTAAGTTTCACTGAACTTTTGGCTAAAACAATGGTTTTGATTTGTGGTATTTGGCCCTGCAAGGGAAGTACTTAGGTACTTATTCAGCAAATATGAAAGGAAATTGTAAAGTATGTAATATGAATGCATCTCATCAAATAAATTAATCTTGAGCTATAATTTGCTAAAATTATAGATACTAGAAGGGAGGTATATGCTGAATTGCAGCACTTCTTTTTCATATTCTCAAATAATACCAGTATCATTATTATTTGAGCAAGATGAATAGAATGATTTAATATTCTTAATTAGAAGATACTTGAAAGTAGTCTTATCCCGTTGGATCATTCTTGTGTTTGAATGGTATTATTTCAGCTTTATTATGCAGAAAATAATTCAGCTTGAGTGGCAGCTTCTCCAAACTTAAATCTCAATTATATAAATTAGTATGGTACTTTATTTTATGCTGATTTAATAGGATGTATTTCTTTACTCATCACTAGTTCACCTGTACTGCACCAGTTCACAGAAAGAACTTTGGTACATTTATTTCTGACTGATTCTGTTCTCTTCCAGGCTGAATTGTGCAGGTTTGCAGAATTTTCTATGATTCTTATGCTAACACTCATCATTGCGGTATCTACCCATAGCATTCGTTTTAAAACCAAAGCTGTGTATCAAATCCTTCTGAGTAGTGTTGCACCACAGGTTTCAGCTGTGGTTTTCAGTAGGCTGAACCCTACCGTTCATGGTCAACCTCTCATCAGAGAATAGATAGAGAATTAAAATGAAGTATTTTCTATTCCTCTTAATTTTTATGTATATTAACTGTACAGCTCTTACAGGATATAATGTCATTTTTTTTCTTTTATCTAGTTACAGTTATAAAGACAGATTAAATAAGCTCAAATTTTTAGCCTTTATACTGTCTTCTGGTGGAATGTATTCACTTAGATAAGTATTTTGTGCCAGATTTATTGCAGTATGGAAGAGTCTTGTAACATATTGAGGAACTCAAATTTATGGAAAAAGAAAACAGAGTGACAGCCACACAGTAAGCTGACTCAATGCATGCTGTAATGATAGCATCATTATCTGAGACCCCTATTTCTCTGTCACAGGTGTCTGATCAAAGATTTTGAGCAGCGTCCTTCGGTCACCCATCTTTTGGAACATCCGTTTATTAAGCAAGTGCACGGTAAAGATATGTCTTTGCAAAAACAGCTGGCTGAGCTCATCCAAGAACAGCAGCAGCTGGGCTCCATAGCCAAAACAAGGTACTGTACAAGGTCCTGTATGTAGCAGCATTTATGCTGCAGCCCTCCTTCCCCACGCTTATACTGGAAGTACAAATTGAAACTTTGGATGTGACTTTTACTGTTTCAAATGATCATTAATGTGTTGAATGCCAATATAATTAGCAACAAGTGCTGCTTACCATGTGAATGTAAGTGTCGTGCTGTCCCTTTGATACATTTTAAAGGTAGCTTGATCAGCTATAACGCAACTTTCTTTGCCTTTCTTTCACTCACTGAACTCTGTTCTATACTTGTTCTCATTTGGCTCAATCAGAAGGATATTGTTAATTCCAGAATGTTCTGATTTGTGGAAATAAATGTTGGCACAATGCACTGTGTCATACTTTGGTAACAGATCTTTAAAAATACAACTGTGAGTATTCAAGTGACTCCTAGACAAAGTTAAGAACAGAAAATTTTGACGTTTGCTGTTTTATTAAATTCTCGTAGTAAGAAGGCTGTTCAGTACTAAAAGTAGTTGTTTTGTCTGTAGTTTAATAGTAACTTCTATTTTTCCATTCAGCCCAGTAATTAATTTTAAAACATGCTTAAAAAGCAATGCATGTTTACTGGCAGAAGTGGCATCTTTTGAGGCTGACTGTAAATGTGTCTTAGTTTAGTTATTGTCCAGAGGGTGGCAGAATTTCACTGTTTCAAAAGAGAATTAAATGCAAATGAACACACTGTCCCAAGCTCAGCAATCATTCTGTAATATGAAATTCTAGAGTTAGATAAGCTCTGGCCCATTATTATAAATAACCACCTACTAATGTTGATGAAATAAATTAGATGTTATGATTCAGAAGTCATAAACATGTATATGCTTGCATGCCAGAAATCTCTGTAGCTGAAATGCTAAAGGCCCAAACAAAAATCTACAAGTTAAAATAAGGGAATGGTTGTTAAGTATAGTTTCGAGGTGAAGCAGACTTGTGAGGGTGGTTAGTTTTTGTTTGGCTGGTTTCGTGGGGCGTGTGTGTTTGTTCGTGTTGGTTTGTTTGTTTGTTTTCTGGGAAAGCATACCTGGGAATGCTCACTGTGAGTAGGAGTTATGCCAGCATTACAGTAGAAGTTACAGCTTTATCTCATTTCCTAAGATATGGCACCCATATAGCACCTGACAGATCACACTGCCTACAGCTATGGCATGGCTGGCCCAAGAGTATAAGAATTTTTCCAGCTGTTGACCTGATTGCACATTTAGACAGAGTGAAATGATCCTTGTGCTAAGAGAAGCTCTGAAATGGATTTGTCATGGTATTCCAATACATTCTTGTGGGATTGAGCTCCATAATGTGGAGTGACAAAGAACCAAGACCACGACAGCATTTCTTTCCTCAAGCCTTTTCATGTATTAACTGGGTGTGCTGTGACAGACAAGCTACTGCACCTTAGACATGACTGGACTGTAAGAAGGATTTTGCTTCCCAGCACCCTAGTATGAATCAGTGCTCATCTAAGGAGGTTTAACTCCTTCTCTGTCCTGTCACCACCTAACCCAGCTAAGTATTTTATTTTCAAACAAAAATCTTTCAGATTGTTTTAGCATTATACTATGGTATTCTTACTTCTGTGAAGCACCAGCCCACTGTGATGGGGTTGAGAGCATGCTCAGTGAGGACAAAAATCTACTTATTGTTTACCTCTGAAATCTACAACATATTGTTCAGTATGATATTCTAAATATTTTAAGATTGATCAAATTGGTACAAAGTTAATGAGATAGCAAAAGTACATCCCTGCAAAATATTAAGTCTGTGGGCCAGACATTTAATGCTGGACTAGAAACATAAGATTATTGCAAAAGAACCAACAACTAAGAGCATCTAATTAGAATTTTCCCAAGAGGATTGACATAGCCTCATAACAGTAAAAAACTTGGCTCTGTAATAGGGCTATTGTACCCTCTAGAAAAATTTTTACCCATTAAAAGCCTTTAAAACCTCTGTAATGCATCTACAACATAATTTTCAATACAAAATTTGACATACAGAAGAACATATGACCAGATGGTACTGTAAAAAAATTTACTGGCATTCATTTGTAATGATCTGTAGAGGGCAACTGAATGTATAGTCACCACTTCAAAGCAAATAAGGCCAATTCAAATCCATGTTAGATAAAACTTTTCTGTTACAACATTGAATATAGTGCATGTTTTTTCTGTTTATTGGTGTGCCCATGGCAGGCATGATGAAATGTACATTAACTTCCTGGTGTTCAGATATAAAGAAAAATAGACACCCATTTTAAGGAGTAGAGCAACACTACAAATGAATAACTTAAAAGATAAGTGAAAGAAAATGCTCTCAAGAGCACAGGCTGAAAATTTCCAGAGAATGGTAAATCATCAGTGTGCTTGTGTTAACAGCACTTCTTTGAGGGAGCCCAGGGACTCACTGGTGATGGCAGCTGATCAGGAGGTGTTTTGTCTCATATGAAAGTCTTCCAGGATGGTGCTTTGGATTTGTGTCTTTTGATTCTGTACTGACTCAGCACCTGTGGGGTTTTAAATAGGATTCTCTTTCCAGTGGAGCCCTGCCAGTTTTGCCTATTTTGGTACATCACTTCAGGTCATTGTGCCTGAGAGCCAGCCTGCAGACTTGAGAGTCACTACTAAAGACTTGGAGCATGTGAAGGAGGGACTTGGAGAGCTGATCTAGCAGTCCCCTGCTACTGAAAAGGAGAGAATTGGCTTCTTTCATTTTCCCTCAACTCCCAGGAACAAACTCATGATGCTGTTTTTATTGCAGCTTCAGGATTGTCAGAAACCTCCTGAGCTTGAACTTCTACAGTGAGAGAAAAACACTAAGCCAGCAGAAACACAAATAACTTTCTACTCTTATTTGTGCTGAAGTGAAGGAGGGAATGCTTCACATGGCCAGGAATAAGCAGGAGAGTGGTAGGAAAAAACAGACTGGCCCCTTTTGGTAGGACCATCTGGGTTGGCCTCTGGAGCCACAGACTGAAACATCACCTTATTTTAGTTTCTTTCATTCTCCTTTTGTCAGCTTCATGTGCAGTATAGCCAGGCTTAACTTCAGTACATTTTGTCAGACCTCTGAACTGAAGGGGCTCTTTATTGACCTTGAGCTCAAAGAAGCCTGTTAACACACATTTGTTGCTATCATCAGTTTGTTGCTGATGAACATACTGTTGTTACTTTTCCATGAAGCAACTTACTAGAGAATTTTATATTCTGATTTCCTTTAGGTTAAAAATTAATAATAAAAAGAAAATGTTTATGCTGGTAAAAGACCACTTTTAAAATTAAAAATAACATTAACAATTCATCCTGTCTTTTTACTGAGAAGGATACTCTTTGAAACTTTTCCACTAGTTCTGTTTTTCCCTAAATCATTTTCATTGGTGAGGTGCAGATATCTTTGATCCTTATGCAAATAAGTGTTTCCAGAAAACCCAGCTGGAATATCCCTCTTTCCACACTTGTAAGGAGGGAGAAGATTCTTTTTTTCATCTGTTGGCATCTTTTACACTGAAATTCTTGTGTTTTGGCATTTCAGCATTAGCTTTCCACACCTGCATTGTCTGTGTCTTACACTCTCATGAGGAAAAACTTGGTGAGAAAGTCTAATGTCACAGCTGTGTAAAGATGAGCTCTGGGCATTATCTTTCTTATACATATCCCTTTTATAAGCTATCAGTTAACTGTATTTGTTTTCTAACAATAACAAAACATAATTGCTAATTAGCAGCAATGCACTTTGCTTTACATTAACAGCTTTGACATACTAACAATTGTATGGAGTTTAATTCTAAGAAATTTATTCAGTGTTAAGTAGTCCACTAGTTTTATTTTTATAGAAGTTCTTCAATCCTTGAAAAATAAAAGTTAGTACATCAGAACATTGCTTCACATGTAGTCATTCCAGCCATGGAGAATTTTTCTTCCCCATCTATTCTAAAGTCAAATACAGAATTCTTTTTTAACACATGGATACTGATTTCTAGGTCATCTTGGGAGTCACAACAGTCTTATTCCTATCAATATGCAGCTGCCTCGAGGCAGGGAGCATTTCTTAAAATCAGAAAGGATGCTTTCACAGGATATCGCTCAGTTTTTTCCCATTTTTCCTTCTTTTTCTTTTGCTTTCATACTTCTCTATTCACACAAATACTGTAAGATGGTTGTTCACATAGTGTCCTTATGCATAGAAACATTGTGAGAACAAGAAATATCATTCATTGCTAAAGACTCGTACCTCATGTAGCATAAAATTTAAGAAGGGGGGAAAAAAGGACTTTAAGTTACAGCAAGGTGTGCCAACAGAACAAGCAAACATTGGCCAGGAATGATGAGCAGAACTATAAAAACATTTTTGTTGCAAAAATAATAATGGAGTGTTGATATACTCAGTGTGTCTGAGTGTGATTAATAATGTTTGCTCTAGGTAAAAAGGGTACACAAGTCAATCTTACCACAAGCTTGCTGTACTTCAGGGATAGGTTCCTCAAGATGCTTGTCATTAAAGTACCAAGAATGTTTAGGCACCTCCTGAATTTAATACAATATCATAGTAGAGGTTTGTGTTCTGTTCCTCATTCTCACTCTGATTTGCTGTGTAATCGCTGTTCTGTCACTTGCCCTCAATATTTCTCTGTTCCTTTCACTTATGAAATGGCTGTTAATAGTTTTACTTAATGTATCATACCTATGGAAAAGAGATAGCAGTTTGCTGAGGCAAGAACTTGTCTTGGTCTATGAAGACACACTGTACTGTACTGTTGGGTTGCTGGAAACCTGGTAATGAGGAGAAACATGTATAATGTTTGGAGCTCTAGCCATTTTTATTGTCATTCTTCCTGCCCTAGAGCCTGGGGAATGCTTTGGGAAGGCTCTAAGCAGAGATATGTTACAAATCCTGGCTATTATTCATTCTCATTTAACAGTAAACGTTTTCTTTGTGGAGATTATATTGTTGTTAAATAATGTTCGAGTATGTTTGATAATCCATTAA